AACACACTTGGCTTCTGAAGATGTGACCCTGCCTCTCCCTGGAAGAAAGCATCTGCTGAGAAAACACAACACACTGCTGATATCTCGTACCTGGCTCTTTTACCTTAATGTTAGGTTCTAGGAGACTGTTCTTCAAAAAATATATAAACATGCCATTATTTTAACTGTATATTTTCCTACTGTTTTCCATAAATTATCCCCAACTGATGACAATACAGACATGTCCAATGTTCTGTTATTAAAAAGAAATTAACACATAACTCTTATATACAGGCAGTATTTACATCTATTTACCACTTTTAAAAATTCTAGAGATAAAGTTTAAGTCTTCCAAGGCTATTCTACCAATTTATATTTGTACTCTAAAGTATAGCCCTGTTTCTCTACAGCTTCCTCAGAAATAAGCATTTCCAAGAACTTTTTAAGAAATAATTTTAACTTGTATTTAACAATGATATTGGATATATTTTCCTTTTTTATGCTATTTTCTGTGAACAATCTAATTCATACCCTTTGTCAAAAAACAGTATTACTTTTTTCTAGGTAATCCATGTAAACTAGTTAGCAAAGACAATAAACTCGTGTCTTATGTTTTACAAATTTCCGACAATTTCCACCTATTTTTCTTTTGGTATTCTGTTTCATTCTTACATCAACTAATATTCTATTTCCTGATAAGACTTAAAGGTCTCCTCTCAGTAAAAATGTGGGAATGGGACCTGTGGGGATATGGGCATGGGGAGATAAAAGAGGGTTGGTTGGAGGAGAAGGTAAACAGAATACACTATATATAGTATGAAATTGTAAAAGAAAAAATTTAATAAAAAATTTTGAAGGGGGAAGAAATGCCTTTCTTCACTCTCAAAATTGGGCATAATTTCTTCTCTCTCTCACCTTCACTTTTAGGCTTATTTCATTTAGATGTGCTGTAAAGAATAAAAGATTAGATCTCTTACTCTAAACTCCAAGCTCATAAACACAGCCATCTTTAATCTGACTCAGGAATGGAAATTAGAAAATACAGAAAAACAGAACACAGCTAACCTCCTGGTTTGGGAAGGGCAAACAGAGCTCTAACTCACCATATATATGAAAAGAGGCACAATGCTCTGCAATGCTCCCATATACTGTCCCAGAGCTATATTAAACCTTTCGATATAGAGGTCTGGAGGGCTGGCCTGTAACAAAAAATATTAACATAAGCACTTTGAGAAACCAGGTGAAAGTCTCTCTTCAACCTCCTGCAATACAAACCAAGTCAGAAAGAATCCAAATTCCCAGTAAGGGTGGGGGTGTTGTGTGAGAGAAACACAGAGAGACAGAAGGAGAGATGACAGAAGGGAGAGACATTTGCATGCTCAACTGAAATTTAATTTCTGAGTCAGGGTGTTGGGGAATGGGAATGAATAAAATACAAAAACAAAACACATTCCACATAAGGCCTTTCCTTTGGAAATTTCATCACAAGTGACAACCAGACCTTAAGACAACATCCTGATTTCAAGCTCTGCCATACTAAGACTCCTAAGTAACAATTCAACAAATGAAATTAGGGGGCTGGAGAAATGACTCAGTGGTTCAGAGTGCTTGCTGCTCTCCCAGAAGACATGTTTGGCTCCCAAACCCCCTTTATCAGGCAGCTCACAATCACCTACAAATCCAGCACCAAGGATCCCAGCCCTCTTCAGGTACCCCCTTCTCATACACACACATACACACATACACACATACATACACATACACACACACATTAAATTAAAAATCTTTTTAAAAGTGAAAGTATAGAAACTATGTCTTAAGCTATGAGAAATGTTCAATGGTCTAATACTCTTAAATGTCTTTAATTTTTTTTTAATTTGTTAAAAAAAAAAAGAAAAAAAAGCCTCATGAACGTTTTCACTTCTACCTAGAAGCTTAAAATACATGTAGGGAACTGTCTCTAGGTGTGGTATTTCTTTTCCATTTCTTTCCCTAGTCCTCATAACAACTGCCTGTGGAATAAAGGTTGTCTCAATCATACATAGGAGATAAACAGCTCAGAAATATTTAAGTGTTTGACTGTGACAACAAGCTAAGCTTAATATGCACTAAGATTTAATCAGTGCCTGGTGATTCTGAGTACTCTCAAATCCCCCACCTTTCATTACAATTTCAGACATCTCAATGGAGGGCACACTGTCTACATTCTGCTTTCATAGCCTACACCTTCTTTCACACTGCCCAGCCAACCACATGCACCATCTATCCAATCCCAAGTAATATCAGTGTTCTTCTGTCTGCCCAAACATTTCTCTCCCCACCCCCAACAGACTTGCTTTATTCCTTCAGGGATCGGTCATTTTCTTAAGATAGATTCTGAGTTCCATGGCCCTTCAGTGGGCAACTCACTCACTGCTCCCACTAGTCTCTGCCACTAACCACAAGCCCCTGAGGCAAGATCTGTGCCTTACCTGTTCCTCTCCAATTTGACCAGAATGCCAAGAATACAGACAGAGAGAAATGTATTTTTCAAAGACAGTCTTTTGAAATCTAAACTTTACATCTAATCCAGCACTGTTTAAACCTAAATTTCTATTTTAGTATTAATAAGGCTTTATGGTAGTAACTAATTCATCCCTTTGAATTTCAATTTCCATACTGAGGAGCAATACCCACTACACTATTTCTATGGATGTGTCAAGAATCAGGCAAAACAACCTCACATCTATGTGTGCAACTATGTGCCTAACACTTAAAAAAACCCAGTAATATTTTAAAAAGCAATCTTTGTCAACCAGAACTTGCGGGGAATGTTTCCCATTGTGGGCAAACATAACCACCCAAAATGAGCAGACTGGAACACACCATCTTCCCCAAAGCAGCTTCAAAGAACTCAGGAAATGATACTCAGCATTCAAAGAAGTAAATTTTACATGCACAGAAGAAAACATCTGAAAAGCTGTTACATTAAAATATTTTTTTCCTTTTCATGAAAGGACACTGATCAAAAGGCACATTTAACAGCAGAGAGAATAAATAAAATTGAGCTCCTTATTCCTTTACAAAATCTCCAAGCCTCAAAGGCTAGGAATATTAAAAGTACTTTTTGTGCTGAATCAAATGTCAGAACACTTAGCTTTTTTACTTCTACATTTCATGCAGCACTTACTCAAAAACCTTTGAAATGACAAGACTATAAATTATGACAGTCTGAGAAAATAAACTCCATCTTTTCCAGGAACCTAGAAATAAATGTCATTTTGAAAATACTAATCAAACTGTTCCTCTTTAAAACTTACATTCAGTATACTCAGGTCCCCATTGGTTAAAATGCTGCCTAGTTTGAGTTTCACTATTCCAAAATGGCAGTTATCTGGCTTGGATATTAATTGAAAAAAAAAAAAAAAAGCCCTCACAAATGAGAAAAAGCAAACTGAGGGAAAAATAACTATTGTTCTGAACTTCTTCCAATCTTTAGGGAAGTGGAACCAAGAACCTCACCCAGTGCCAGACAAAAGTGCTCTACCACAGCCACACCCTCAGCCAGTTCAAATGGGTTTAGTGTTTTACTTTCACTTTTTTCTCCCTGAAATAACTGCCACTTAATTCTTTTCTATCCTTTCAAAATATATTGCTTGTAGAAATAAGAGTCTAATAGCTCTTTACACAAATGTTAAGTTATACTAATGCCAATGTGTACTTTTTCTAACAATCTATTTTGGAGTAGGTTTTATTCTATTGAGTCTTGGAACATTTTGGTCTCTGGAACCATTTGTGCTATTTAAAATAACTGAAGATGGGTTGGAGACTGAAGATGGCTCAGCAGTTAGAGCACTTACTGCTCTTGCAGGTCATTTCACAAGAGATCTGACGCTATCTTCTTGTCCACAGAAGTTCCTGCACAGACATGGTGCCCATAAACTCACGTGGGTGAACAAACACACATGGAAATAATAAATGATAAATCTTTAACCTAAAGGCTCCAAAAAGCCTTTATTTGTATGTGGGTTACATCAAATATTTTTTCTGTCTAGAATTAATGAAGGTACAGTGACGAATACCTGTACTCCCAAGAAGTCTGAATCCCTTTAGCACAGGAGTTTGAGAATAGTGTGTCAGGGAAACACAGTAAGATAGTATGGCCCCAAAACAAACAAAACTGGACTTTATCAAGGGATAGTCCAACTCTTAACCATGAAGAGCCCAGACAGCAAGATGGATTTCATGAACATTATACTGCCACTCGCCAAAGCATATACAATTCCTGAAACATAATCATAGACATTTTAAGATGAGTAACTTGGTCAGCAATGTTTACATAGGCATACCAGTTCCTAACACATAACAACTCTACTGTCAAGCTCAAGGCTGGGACAAATGGACATTTGGCATGTACCACCAGAGTGAGACATGAAAACCACTGAGACTTTGAAACACAGCAGTTTTACGTTCACTTGTGCAAACATGGAGGGTGTATATGAACACACCACACTAGG